AACCCTAACACCTTGGAAACCCATAGTTGATGAGTAATCAACATTGAAAAATGTCAGTAAAATCTTTCAAGGGTCATTTTGGCCACTAATTACTCTGCAATTGAATCGTGTACCAAATACTCATTATCAGCAAGCTCAGAAGTACCCATACTGTGATTTTCAGCAAAATCTAATTTTTGGCCAAAAAACCACCAAAAATGTAAGTCTTTTACCTTACAAAATTTTTGACCAAAATATACTTTTTTCTCAGAATTGAAATTTAAGGGGTTTTACTAATTAAATACTTCCAGAATAACACACAAACCCTAAATCACACCTTGGAAACCCATAGTTGATGAGTAATTAGCATTGAAAAATGTCAGTAAAATCTTTCAAGGGTCATTTTGGCCACTAATTACTCTGCAATCGAAACGTGGAGCACATACAGTCAACCCTCGCTTTACACGGTCCCACATTCCGCGTTTCCACGTTTACGCGGTACCCTGTTGAAACCGGAATGCTCACATTCCGCGGTGCGTGTACCCCTTTACGTGGAGACCGGCTGGCGAGCCGCGCCATTTTTGGATCCAAACCTCCCGCCATCCGCCATGTTGTGTAAGCGGCCTGGCAGGTGCCATCAACAAAGTTCTTCACCGCCACCCACCACAGCCGGCCCAAGTCAGTGATAGTGATAATTATAGTGAGGATATGGACTTATATGGACTTTGAGGGGTTTAACAAAGAGGCCCTGCAAGCCTCTGTGGTGGATAGTGATACAATTGATACAAGGATACAGGCGAGGGCCAATAATCTGCCCTCTGCCTCGGAACCAACCCCCCATCCCCGTGTGCCCAGCCATCTTTTCTACTAATGTAAGTGTTAAAAAACCTTATATTATTGATATTTCTCTTAATTATTAATTGTGTGTGCATACCATCATAAAATTAAGTAAGTGTTAAAAAACCTTATATTATTGATATTTCTCTTAATTATTAATTGTGTGTGCATACCATCATAAAATTAAGAAGTTATTTTTACTACAACGTAGGTATTGTGTCTGAAAAAGTGGAGTTTGGGGGTCGGCCCGGTCTCTATTTCAATTAATCCCATATGTTATGTTGTTCACTTTACGCGTTTCTGACTTACCGCGGTACCCTGTGGGTTGAATTAACCGCGTAAAGTGAGGGTTCACTGTATTCATAATCAGCAAGCTCAGGACTACCCATACTGTGATTTTCAGCAAAATCAAATTTTTGGCCAAAAACTACCAAAAAGTAAGTCTTTTACCTTACAAAATTTGTTACCAAAATATACTTTTTTCTCAGAATTAAAATTTAAGGGTGTTTAACTAATCAAGTACTTCCAGAATAACATACAAACCCTAAATCACACCTTGAACACCCATAGTTGAGTAATTAGCATTGAAAAATGTCAGTAAAATCTGTCAAGGGTCATTTTCGCCACTAATTACTCTGCAATTGAATCGTGGACCACATATTCGTATTCAGCAAGCTCAGTTGTACCTATACTGTGATTTTCAGCAAAATCTAATTTTTGACCCAAGACCTCCAAAAATGTAAGTCTTACACCAGTGCTGTCAAACTCAATACCTTTCGAGGGCCAATTCTTATTTTATTTACCCTCTTCAGGGCCAACACAAGTGCTATATCACATATTTGCAGGATTGAAGTCTTCAGCTTCACACATTGCTTTACCTGGCTTTCCAGGAATATCTCATTTGGGTTTGTCTGATCTTAAGTATGTAAAATTCATTTTACTAAATAAACATGTTTATATCTATTTCTTTCATAATTTCATGGGATGATAAATTTTACCATCATCCCCTGGTCTAAATGGTCGTAAAATGGGAAAATTGGGGTTGAGTCGTGGGTGCCTGGAACCAATTAGAATAAATCCCATAGGTTCTGTACTTTCGTTATCGCGTTTTTCATTATCATGCACTCGGTGCGGTCCCAATTAGGCGTGATAACCAAGAGATGCCTGTACTCACCAAAGGAATTTATCTTAATGCATAAGCAATTGGGGTTTCAATAGCATATGTAGTACCTAAATAAGAAAAATAAGCTGTTCCGTGACATATACAAACAAAATATATACGTAGTTTCTTTCCCACGTAATATTCACTCATTTGGTTGTTTTATTCTTAGTTTAAATTGTATCAGCTAGTTTTTTCAGGGAGAGTAAACACCTTTTTTTATTGCTCTTCCTTGATTTTTTAGCTATTTCCTCACACTGTTTTCTTTGATTCTAGCATTTTCTTTAACAAAAATTTCCTCATATTTTCTTCCTGTTGCAAACTCTTCTGCTTTAACATGCTTCTATACCTCCTGCTGGAGAATTTTATGTTCCTACACATGCCCTACAACCCTGACCTCCTGGGGGACACACACACATGCCCTACAACCCTGACCTCCTGGGGGACACACACATGCTCTACAACCCTGACCTCCTGGGATACACACACACATACCCTACAACCCTGACCTCTTGGGGAGACACACACACATGCTCTACAGCCCTGACCTCCTGGGGGACACGCACACACACATGCCCTACAGCCCTGACCTCCTGGGGACACACACACACATGCCCTACAACCCTGACCTCCTGGGACACACACACACACACACACACACATGCCCTAGAGCCCTGACCACCTGGGGGGCACACACATGCCCTACAGCCCTGACCTCCTTGGGGACACACACATGCCCTACAGACCTGACCTCCTGGGGAACACAAACACACCAAACAGTCCTGACCTCCTAGGGGACACACACATTCCCTACAGCCCTGATCTCCTAGGGGACACATAAATGCCTTACAGCCCTGAACTCCTGGGGGACACAAATATGTCCTAAAGCCCTGACCTCCTGGGGGACACACACACATGCCCTAGAGCCCTGACCTCCTGGGGGACACACATAAACATGCCCTACACTCCTGACCTCCTGGGGGACACACACATGCCCTACAGCCCTGACCTCCTGGGGAACTCAAATGCACCATACTGAATTGCCTATACAACTATAAAATATGGCTTTGTGTTATAGAATAAATCGTTATCATCAGAAAGTGTAAAATGATTATAGAAACTTTGTTATATTGAAAAATGCTACCCCCTCCCCCCGCCAGTGGCAGAGGAGGAGGGTGGATCAAGTGGATTGGGTGGAGGGGCAGATTGTAATGCTTCTAATAGTGGCGCTGACCTCCTGGGGAGGACACACATATGCCCTACAACCCTGACCTCCTGGGGGACACATATGCCCTACAGACCTGATCTCTTGGGGTACACACACATGCTCTACAGCCCTGAACTCCTGGGGGACACACATTTGCCCTACGGCCCTGACCTCCTGGGGGACACACACACATGCCCTACAGCCATGACCTCCTGGGGACACACACACGTGCCTTACATCCCTGACCTCCAGGGGGACACACACACACACACACACACACACATGCCCTACCGCCCAGACCTCCTGGGGTCACAAATGCGCCCTACTGAATTGCTTATACAACTACAAAATATGGCATGGGTTATAGAATAAATTATCATCAAAAAGTGTAAAATGATTATAGAAACTTAGTTATATTGAAAAATGCTAAGCCCAGCGAGGGAGGGTGGATCAAGTGGATAGCATATTATAATGCTTCTAATAGTGAAGCTGTATAATGTCATTGATCTTTGGTCAATGAAATACTAAATCGAAGAATGGAATGCAAAACAAGCAATACTCAGCCAATGAGAAATAGAGTATAGATGGTGTAATGCATGAACATGTAGAATACGGCCACTATACTCAGTATACTGGCTCGTCATCATCACGCGGCAGACCCATCGACCAGGCTAATATTACTGCACAGTGGAAGGCACAAGTGTGTGAGGTGGATAAAAAGATGAAATTTTAAAGGCTCACTGACTCAGCCGTCTAGGTGCACTGCCAGGACAACACAGACCTTATGTTCAGTGTGCTATGGACTGTTGCCATGTAACCAATTAGTGATTGATTACCACGTATGTACAGTATAGTCTCCATTTACTCGGTCAATTGAACCCGTGGAGGTCCGCGTAAAACGAGAAATGCGTAAACGAAATAACAGAACATATGGGATTAATTGAAATAGAGACTAGGCAGACCCCCAACTCCACTTTTTCCGACACAATACATACGTTGTAGTAAAAATAGTATCTTAATTTTATGATGGTATGCACACACACATACTGTAATATTGAAGAGAAATATCAATAAGAGAATAATATACTGTACCAGGTAAAAGAAAAATCAAGGTTTAACACTTACGTTAGGAGAAGAGATGGGTCGGCATACGGG